CTTGTCCTAACTCTTCATTTTTCTTACAACTTCGTCTTTGCAGGATTTTCTTATCTAGAGCGTGGAATGCAAGTTGCAATTTCCTCCCCCTGCCCCATGTTTTCATACCTATTTCCAGATAGCATGAACTGATGTGTGAGGATTTCCCTCCTTCCCAACCCGCAGTTCTAGTTTTCTGGTAAAACATGAGTGGCTTTGCATAAATTCATCTGAACATACAGCTATAAGATGCTTGGAAATTAAAGTGCACTGTCTAATGATAGTGCCCTCGGGCCTCCATTAGGACTTGTACAAACCCTTCTACAGAACATGTGTCAACCAAGTCGTCGTGTTTTTTAAGAGCAGAAAGTGCAACAGCAATTGCTCATCTTTTTTCTTTTTCTTTTTCTTTTTTTTTTTTTTTATTTTATAAAGCTCACAGAAGAAGTAGAAACTACTTTGGCAAGGAAGGATGGTCAAAGTCTGCTTTCTTCTATGTGGCTCCTTGTTGTATTTCATTACTTGGTCTTTCAATTTCCAGACCTGGAAAGAGAGATACCTACACAAATCTTCATGTAACATGCAAAGGGAAAAAAAAATGAGCCCTTGGGGGAAACAAGCTCTCATCTGGGCTTGTGTAAGATAACTGAAACCCATCTGGATAGAAAATATGCTACTTTGAAAGTATAACAGGTCCTTTGGCTTGGATTAGTTGTGGGTTTTTTTAATAGAGAAACTTCTGGGGAAAGAATTTATATTCATAAATCGGAGACTTTCTATGTTTGCTAAAGTCATTATCTCCAGAATGTGAAAGTAGAACAAAAAAGAAAACCAAGAAGATCTTTACTCTAGGACAGCACACCTGTTAGTTTTCTGAAGAACAGGATGACATGCTGGAGATAGAAAGAGTAGAGATCAGTAGCTTTCTTCAAAGGCCACCATTAGATTATCATAAAAGCATTTCTTTCTTCGTGTGGTTAGTTGGAACGTTTATCTGAACAGCCAGGTTGTCTTTGGTCTATCTTCTATATTTTTGGTTTTCTTGGCTCTTAGGTGAAATAGCCCTGTGGGTGAAATTGCCCTGTAGCTGTAATTTCTTTAATACAGTTCCACTTGTTTGGTGCGGGTATACTCTGGGTATTATTTGCATGGTAAAAACAAGCTACCAAATTCCCAGGCTCTCTTGACAGATACAGGGTCTTGCCTTAGCTTCCAGGTGTATCTTCCTCTTCATTACTAGTAGCATTACTGCTTGTAATCGTGTATTAACTCTCATCTCCAGGTCCACATCGACACAAAAATTTGGCAAAATTTAGCCATGGTATAGCCCATAAAATCTTTTAATTGGGTGTTTGAGAAAGTACAGAAATCAAGCTGTCAGATAACTTGTGGTTCTGCTCCATTAACTGGTTTTAACCATTTTAATGAGGTTGAATTTACACATCTGTTGCAGTAGCTTTTTAAGACAACAGTGTATTTAATAGTATATTTCCTTTAAATATATGCATCTCTACTGAACAGAAACAATGATAATTTAAAAAGAAAAATCTTTTTTGTATCTGTGTTCCCTTCCGCTGAAGAAGGTAAAGAGGAAGGGAGAAATTCGGTCTGCAAACTGTTGGAGCAGCATCCTGCGGAGAGCCGCCCAGCAAAGATGTGCATGGCTTCATTAGTTTAAAGCAACAGGTGTGCTGGCTTAGCACAGGCCAACTCTCTCATGCTTTCTCCCCTTCAATTATACCTCTTCCTGGGGCTGGCAGCTGCAGCAGAGATCAGCCTCCTCCCCTGCTGTACTGAGCCTCAGTAATTTGTTATTCCATATGGCTGAGGTCTGCAACCTGACCAGAAGCTCAGCGCCTTACACAGGGGTGAGGGGAGCAAGAAGGGTGTGCATCCCCCTTTATGTTTTGAACTCCTGGCATCCTTCCATACTTGTGAAGGGCCGGGTCCCTGCTCAAGTCTTCGCTCCTGAGCGAACAGCATTCGGGTTAACTCCTTTGTGACTCTGGCAGGAGCAGCTAGCCTGCAAAAAAAGCTTGTGAGCTGCAGAGAGATCAGGGTATGGCAGTGAGTGACTGTGTTGGAGTTGGTCTAATTGGGGCCCTGCAGTCTCTGTCCCCCCCTGACGTGGCCTTTCAGGGCTTTTCCTCCTCACTTAAGGTTGTGTGTATGCAGGGAGGATGTGAATTAGGGGCAGCGCTCAAATTCTGCAGTGATATTTTTGAGACTATTTGTGCTGTATCCATACCAGTTGTACTCTTTTTCCCTCTTCTCCCTTTTCCATGTATATTTTGAAGAAGTTGGCATTTAATCATTTGAGGTTGAAGTAGTTGGTCAAAAAGTGTGGGTTTATGTGAGGGAGAGCTGGGAAGAGGAGACTTGTTCTTATTTTGGGTCCTTCTGAATTTCACCAGTGGTTCTGCCCAACAGGAGAAAACATGCATCTATACCTTGGGAAAACCTGCCACTGCTTTATTTTAATTACAGAAAACATACAGAAAATATCCTGTTCTCCTGCTATTTTAAAATGCTATAAATTGTGAGGCTTCCTGTGATGTCATGTGTGTCATTGTTTAACGCGAGGTAGGGAATAGGAAAGGTAGGTGATGTACTTTCTGCACAAATTAACTTCAGAGAAGTTGATGGTTTGACCTTCATGCATAGGAAAGGAAAAGATAGGAGAGCCGTGTTTTTAATGGTCGGAACAGTAAGGAAGAATCATAAAGACAGGAAAGGGAAAATGCTTTTTGACACATGATCTCATTGTTACTTTCTTCACTGGTAATTTATTAGCCCAGCAAATGTTGACCATGACAATTAAATAGTGCTTGACCTCGCTGCAAAAGGACTGCTAGATTTAACAGAACAAGCTTAATTCTGAGAGATCCTAATATCCAGAGATTGGGTTTGATGTTGGCCACGTTGTGAATGAGGGCATTGGTGATGTCCACCTGAATGTTGAGTAACTTTTTAAATGGCTTTTTCCAGTGATGTGGGAGACTGGTTGCATTAGAGGCAAGGGACAGTCTGCACAGCTAAGGGAGATGCAGCTTCTCCTGGGGTGGTTCGCAATTGAGAACTTCCATAGAATGGTAGATAGATGTGTTTTGTTTCAGAAAATGCTCTAATTAGGAACTTTCTAGATTTCTTGTAAAGTGGAATTGGTTAAAATTTTCACATCTAAACAAATCTGCGTAGGGATGACATCTGCCTCAAATATTTGAGATCTGTTGGAATCTCAGTGAAGCCACTCTAAGAAAGTGAGACATCAGATTAAATCTTTAAAGCCTGCTTCTGACTCTGACAGGCACCCTTAATTTCAGTAGTGAGGGGGGTTTTTTTAGTGTATGTTCAATGAAGATTTCTGGGATCAAACTTTTCAAGCATTAATACTACCAGTGGGCAAAAATCTGGCGGCTTATTTTCTCTATTAGGCATATGCCAAAAAAAGAGCAAGGGAAACCTCTGTGTTTTGTGGTTTGTGTGGGTTTTTTCCCTACGTTCACCTGTGACTTGCTTTAGGAGTAGAGTGAGTTTTGCGTGTGGCATCCTCTTGTATCCGTTTTAAACATGGACCTAGACCTCAGGCCTAGTCTATGTGTCGAGAGGTGTCCTGGTACTCTCAGACTCCAGGATGCTCGCATAAATATCTGAATGCTTCTCTGTAAGCAAAATGCTGGAAGAGCAAAGATGCCCCAGTGTCTTGGAAAAACCTGTTTGCCTTGGCAAGAAGATGGGGTTTTTTTTGCAATTAGTTTGTAATTCAGCCTTTTGGTGAAGCAGCTGTCTCCAAAACACCTTTCTTAATCTGAGCGATAGAGATGTCTTTATAAGCTTGTCATCTATACGTGCTCCTCTTCCTCTTCTGTGTGCTCATCAGGTGTTGGGGACAGGGTAGCAGTCTCAGGGAGAGGGGATGGTAGCCTGGCTTGCTTTTGCTGGTTTGTGTGGTTTTTTGGCAGACTACCCCAGGGGTTTCTTCCAGTCCTGCTCAGTCGTGGAGCTGGGAAGTGGAGGGTGCTGAAGGTGGGCAGATGTAGAAAGGAGTAACTTTTTTTTTGTTTCCACTAGTTTGTGCATGAATCTCCCTCTCCCTGCCCTTGCTTCTCCTCTTCGCCCCATCACCCAAAAATCTCAATCTGTAACAAGACTGGCTTTTAATCCTTTGAGTAGTTTGGACTTTGCTGTGAGGTATTCAAAGATAGAAGCTGAGGCACTGGAAAAAGAGCTGATTCTTTTATCTTGGTGTATCTGGTATCATGTTCATATTCCCAGTTAAAAAGAGACCTTTGTTTCCCCGCTGGTGAGGAGGCCTTGGGAGTGTGGTGAGACCAGTACTTTCTGATCTGTGTTTCTCTGATCCCATAGTAACATATAGTTGGAGCTCAATTGCTGCTTAGTTGGGTTTTTTTGAATGACATAATTTTGTTTAAATGGCACATTTTGTAAACTGACTTGAAGAGTTCGTAGCTGTTTTAATACTAACTTGTAAGAACATAGTCCAGGTTAAAAATAAAATTACAGCTGTTGGGACCAGACTGAGTTCAAGGCCTATTAGTATTGTCTTCAGAAAAAATATCTGTCCTTATTAGCAAGGTTTGGGGTTACAGGCCATTAACATGATTAGCAGGATTGCAAGTGCACCAAAATGAACTGCGTGTCAGCATTGTAACGCGCTTACTTCCCAGCGTTCCTTTGCGAATAAGCCTGAAACGCAGAGTTGTGGTTTGTTCTTGGCTCTTCTTCACTGGCCCTCTGTGAAAACAAGCTCCCATCTGGCAAACCAGGTAGCTAGCATGATCACTATGAATGCAAGCAGTGCAGGAACCGGACATAAGGAAAAGAGTTCTTGCTTAGACATGCGCTTCTAGATTTGACTACCTTGTTTTTAAGACAGATGTGAATATGCCCTAGGGGAGGAAGAATGTGTTTGGGTTTTTGTTTTTTTTCCCCCTGTATAGCCTAGTCCTTGAGAACTGAATCTCTAACGCTGTGGCTCTTCCCTCTTTCTCCCTTTCCAGTCCTTCCTCCGGTTCTGGTTCCAAGGCACAGCGAGTACAACCCTCAGCACAGCCTCTTGGCCCAATTCCGCAACCTGGGACAAAACGAGCCCCACATGCCGCACAATGCTACTTTCCCGGACTCTTTTCAGCAACCCAATAGTCACCCATTCCCCCACTCGCCCAACAGCAGCTATCCAAACTCGCCTGGAAGCAGCAGTGGCACCTACCCGCATTCTCCAGCCAGCTCAGACCCGGGAAGTCCTTTCCAGATGCCAGGTACAGTGAACTTTGGTTCCTCTTCAGAAGGGAGAAGGTGGTTGGACGTCACTGGTATCATGATTTTTTCACTTAATACCAAATTATCAACCAACACTTGTGTTCAATAGTGAGCTGAGAGACGTCAGGTAATAAAGAGTATGTAATCACTTTGTCTAGTAATAATATTGAGGATTTTAATATTGTGCCTCTTTCAAACATAGTTAAAGCATTACAGTAAAACTCTTGTAGGGCAGAGGGAGGGATTAAAAATGTTTTGGGGATCAGTTCAACAGTTTAGCCCACAAAGCATAGAGTTTAACACACAAGAAGTGTAATGCTAGAGATCATTCTTGGTTAGCAAAAAGATCATGGTAAATTCAGCACAAGGCTTTAGTTCTGCAGAAGAAGGATATTTCTCAAGGGGATCATTCTATTGCTACTTGATAAAATTTCTTCACATAATGATGTAATTTCAAGAAACAAATATACTTCAACTGCAAAACAGTTCCTTAAGACCCTGAAAAGAAATCTTCAGGCTGTTTTGCTTCCTAAAGTCAAAGAAGTAACAACCTTTCTTAGACTGATGTCCATAGAAAATTCTGTGAAGCTGTTTGGTTTTGGTCTTTACATGCAGATGGATAAAAATACTGCAGAAGTAGCCTGTGACAGATCTCGATCTAAATGCTAGGAGAAGGACTCCATACAAATGCTTGCTGATGTTCTGTTTGCATGTTTTCGTCAGGGGCGGAGGCAGAGCGTGTGTAAACAAAGCGGCAGACTTGTGAAAATCTGTTTTCTATTATGTGAAATTAACATCCGTAGATTGCTGCTGCTGCTAGTTGTTTCTCTAAAATTTTTCTCTTGTGAGTGAGGACTACTGAATTTGCAGAGGCAGAAGGGAAGGAAAGAGAGTTTGTATTGGCTTTTCTAAAAAAATGGGAAAAGTTGCCATAAAACCAGCTGTCTTTCCGTCTCTCTCTCTCTCTCTTTCTCATTAAAAAAAAAAAAAAAAAAAATTGGTGTGGTTGGGGCTCTTCCAGCAGAGATAAAGCCTTCTCTAACAAGGTCTTCCTGAACACTGGCTTGTGGAAGCTCACTTGACCTTTGAGGGTCTGTTCTGTCTGCATGCCTGTAAAGACAAGTCAGCAGCTGTAGTGACAAAATTCAGTTAAAGGGGAGGTCAAGATACTGACGTCCTTGATGCTTAGCTCTGGACAGTTGTCCGTCTTGCACTAATGGGGAAAGAGGCTGACTTTTGGAAAATATAAAAAAAAAAGCAAAGCAGTTATCCAAACATCTTGCAGACTTTCTAGATACTGGCGAATTTGTTGCCTGTGGCCTTACAATCTTATTTCCCTATATGTGCATCACTAACATGATGTTTGCACACACATGAACATTTAAAACTTAGTAAAACAGGAGACTTAAGCTCCGATGTAGACTGTTAAGCTTTTAATGCAGCCCTGTTGTCATGTCTGTCTTTCTCTGCTGCTCTCTTGTCCAACTGAGGGTATCCAAGTAAGGGAATTGCCAAGGTACCTGCCAGCATAAAGCTCTCAACAGAGTATCTCCTAAACAATAAGCAGTTCAATAGGTTTCGTGTACATGTATTTTCTCAACAAAAAAACCCCAACCCACAAAAACCTCCAAACTTACAAAGCAGTGGTATGATTCTCCTTTCTTTTGTTGATTGTAATTTGGTTTTTAGGGTTTTGGAGGCCCCTGTGATTATTTGCTGTGGTAGTTTGCAGTCCGTGCTCTCAGTAATGGAAGTAAACATGGGATGAGGAGCAGCCACGTTCACCAGAGATAGTACAGTGGTAATCTAACCTCAGCTTTTGCAGCAAAAGCTTGCAGGGATGAGGCAAGGGTTTCTCTTTTGTGTGTACCTCTGTGTAATTGATTTGGAGGAGTGTGTCCTCTGGTGTGTTGGGAAATGGTGACATTGGCAACTTCCTGCAGCTTCCAAGAAGCCCTTTGGGAAGCTTTCCCAGAAGTGAAACAGGCAGCTGGAGGGCAACATGAGTACCTGGCTGGGACGCTTCAAACCGGGCTGAAAGCAGTGTGCTAGAGAGTACGGTCGTTGTGCACAGGCTAGTTTTATGCTTGTGATTCAATCTTGAACAGGGCAGCACAGCCAGTAAGAGACACTGACAGATAAATTCCAGACCCAGACAGCTACTTCTGTAGAATTTGGGTTCTTGAACACTTTTTGCTGTTTCCAGTCTAGGGAAATAGAGCTAATACTTCACAATGACAATAATAAGGTCCTGGATATATCTGGGATGTTTACATACTTTGACAGAATCATGTTGGAAACAGAAAAGTTTGAACTGGAAGTTTTCTGCTCCAACTCATGTTCACATTTACTGTATTTGATATCTACTTCTGGCCTCGTCTTGAGACCCCTTTGTGCCTTTATGGCACTTTCAACTTGCAAAAAATGTGGGCTGGAAACGTAGCTGAGCTTTCTTTTGTGGCTTGATGGAGGGGATTGACTTGTTTTTGTTGCAGTTGTGCTTAATATGCACAGTAATTCTTTGCTTTCCTGATTCAAGGTCCATGATTGCTTTCTCAGCTTTCTGGTGGGTGGAAGTTTATAGCTGAGTCAGGCTGGAAGCATTTCTAGGCTAAAATTGTTTATGTGGGTATGTGTATATATACTTTAAAGAGAAGAAAGGACTTGTGTATCTCTGCCTCTTCTATATTTAGCTGATACTCCCCCTCCTGCTTACCTGCCTCCGGAAGATCAGCTGACACACGATACCTCCCAGCCGATGGATACCAACATGATGGCACCCACAATTCCCCCTGACATACACCGAGGAGGTAAAAACACTTCCTTCTTGTCTTTTGCTTTGCTTCTTAAGAGTAAAGAGCTTTCAGAACTTACTTTTAATAATTGAGTTTTAATTTTGGGTGTATGTCATTTGTTGAAATTTTTAGCTGTAGAAAAGAAAAAAAAAACACCACCACCCACCCAGCCCTGTAATTTTTATTCTGTTGTTGTAAGGGATGAAATAGTAAATCTGGAGATAAAAATTTTTAAATGTAAATATTTATTTAGAACAGGAAGCTGTCATGTGACTTTTTAAAAATGTAAAATGTGCGGGTTTATTACTTTTTTACTAGCAACCAACTCAAGGACCAAAGTCATTTTATGTTTTGTGTCTGGAACTTCCACCAGTCACCGAACAGAAAGAATTCCTATGGTGCTACACATTTCTGTGTGCGATGGTGAAATTACACATGTGCACAGAAAGAAATCTCTTTCTCTCTTATGATGGCATTGTTCCAATAAACCAATGTAATTAAAGCTATATAAACTCTACTGAATTGTGGATTATAGTAGATATGGCAAGTATAGCTCTCCAAGCAAAGACTTGATCAGAAGATGGATGCCAGTACTGTCAGTTATGTAAACACCCAGACACATTTTGCATGGGCAACTGGAGGATCTGTATTTTTTCTGAGACAGTACATCTCATAAAATTGTCTTGTTATGTTTTTGTCCTGAATTCTAAACTTCAGTCCTTAAAGAGTATGGTCTGCTTTTAATAATTTACCCTTCTCCTGGTCCTAAGAGCATTTAAGTTTGCTCATATTTTGTTTTTCCACACTCTCTCTCCATTTTTGTTCCATCTTTCAGTCATGCAGTGGTAGCACTTGGTTCAGAATACAGAGCTGTCTGCCTGAGGTGTGGCATTGCTGCAGACTTTAAAATCTGTATTAAAAAAAACCTCTATTGCTTTGTGTACTATGACACAGACATCTTTTTACACATTGCTTTTTAAAGCCTTTGCAGCCAGCCATGACTGCCGAGTAAAGGATTTAGTGCATTCATCACATTGTTAGAAATAGCCCCTTTAGAGAACACATAAGCTTACACGGTTGTTGCCCATGCCAAGAAAGAGCAGCAAGCTGGATGCTGTGCCAGAATGATTATCAAGATCGCAAGCATATGAACAATTTAACTGTTTGAATTTTTTTTTTACTTGTTTTGTTGCTAAGCTTAATGTCTGATTTCAGGAAGTATATTTGCCCTCTTAGAACAATTTGGATAGCTTTTGTGCTAACCTGTTTACTCTCTGCATGGAATGAGTTTTGCATCCGATAAATCCCATCTGTAGCATTTCCACTTTTCACTGATCCAATACATTCTGTGTCTATGTATAGTCTTGGCTGGCCCAAAGTACATTTATCAGTATTTATGCCGAACTGCAGACCTTTGCACGTTTGTCCCTCTCACAAAATACACGAGTACTGTAGAATTCCTCTATTATAAGAGAGTTGATAAAGAGCAAAAGGGTTTACATTTTTCTTCTTGCTTTTTTAATGTTCAACCGTTTCAAAATAAAAATTGTGCCTATTAGCATTTTTCCCTCCTAGTAGATGAGTACAATGGATTTTCATCTCTGTCCATTGGAAAGAAACAAAACCAACCTTACTTCTGGGTGTCTTCATGTGCTTATTATTCATATATGTATGCTGTAATTGCAATACTTGAAAAAAAATCTGCTGCAAGTTATAAAAGAAGAGTTTTTACTGTGAACTTAAGCAGCATTTTTGTTGCAAACTTTTTAGAAGCGTGTTGTTCACGGTGATTTGTTAGTCTTAAGAGATTTGATTTAACAAGCTGCATCCTGTCAATGAAGTTGGGTAATTTCCATTGTTGGCCCATGCTGGGAATAGGGAGACTAAACGCACCTGCTCTGCATGACTTAAAGCAAATGTAAGGAAGTTAGTATGAAATCTGTGTGAGAGAGATATGATTCATTCGGTAAGAATGGCCAGCTGGCAAGATTTCTTCCTGACTTTGAGAACTGGGGCAAAGCTGCAGCTTTGATAATTGCTGGCATCTTCATGGGAATTAAAAGTGTAGTAACCTCTTACTAATCATTAATGACTGATTTTTATTATTTTTTAATTGTTTTTTTTTTTTACCGTGACGTGACAAGGATAGAAAATGCTAGGGTATCAGGAAAGACCAGCTCCTTTTTTACAAGTGTTTTAAGCAAGTTATTGGTCAGCAGTAGCCATTGTGCTCAAAAGTTTTGCACAGCGTTGTAGGATGTGTTATCCTGCTTTTGATTATTTGCCACCTTTTGTATCTGTTATGTAGTGCTGGTTTGGGCAGCATTCTTTGGGTTTTTTTTGTTTTGCACGTGTCAGAAAACTCATAGCAATACGATCTGTGAACAGAGGAAAATATGAACTGGTCTTAGTTGGCTGATTTGAGTAAAAACGTGGGGCTGAGAGAAGGAAACCTCTGGCCAGAGAAACAAGTTTTCCTGTAACAGCAGTCTGATTTTTGTTTTAACGCTTTGACCTGTAGTTGGAGCTTTAATCTGCAAAGTTGGTGTCTTAGCAGCAAGTCCAACTCTGCTAAGCTTAGCAGGGAAATAGTCTCCTTTGTGTAAAAGAAACCACATCTAGCAACCACATCCCTTCACCTAGCCTCCTTTTATTTGGAGGCAGTTTAATAATTTGTAGCTTGTATTTGGCACTTGAATGCGCACTGGGTGGAAATACCTGAAGAAGCCTATGCTGTTGTTGGACACCCACTGGGAGACTCTTTTTGGTAAAGACCTTTGGTCTCATCTGGAGAAATTGTTCCCTGTGCACAGTCACAAGTGTTACCTCAAGACTTCTGTGTATTTGTAGAGCTTGATGGGTAAGAGTCTTGAACCAGGAATTTGCTTTTGGCATTCTGCATGACTCCCAGCTTCAGTTCGGAGCTGCTGAGGAGGAGCTTCTTGTTACCAGAGTCTGGAAAGCCACGTTCTGAGAAACCCTTGCTGCTACTCAACAAGTAATTCTTTTGATGATGAACAGTCGCAGATTTTGCATTTGGTAGCACTTGATGAATAAAAGGTTCTCATTAAATAATATCTTCCTTCATTTCATCTGCTCTTCAGCCCAACGTAATTGTTAGGATCCTGAGCATTATGCCTTTGTTCAGCCTCTGATCCCAAGCAGTATCTAATCATATTGAAGATGTGCTTCATGCATGTTCTGCAGACAAATGTCATTCTCTTTTAGTTTTTGAAGTCTCCTACCCTTTCCCCAAGAAGCCAAGGGGAAAGATTTGTGCACACCCTGAATGCTGAAGGATTAATCTGCTGACTGTATGTTTAAGCTATCTTGCTATACTTCTTGGTACCCAAAGTTACAAATGGTCTCTTATGCAATTGTGCGATCCTCTTTCTCCCTGTCACTGTACAACTTTGCAGTAAGCACAGACTTGACTTTTAATTTGGTAGTTGAGTAAAATGAACTGAAGTTGAAGTTCATCTACTAAATTGGAAAGAAAGCTGAGCTGTATAATTGCAGCGTTTCTCTGCTGTCTGGGCCTACGCCATAGCGTGTTGTAGAAAATGTGGCAGGGATATTGGGGCACTGGTTGGTATGTGCCCAGGAGCTTCCTGCGCTTTTCTGTTGATATCTAGTGCCAACCTCTTGTCTCTTGTGAGTCTCGTGCAAGTAAAGCTGAGGTGAAATTATTCTATTGTATGTCTGTGGCTATGAAAAGGTCAAAAATGACTGAAGATAGAAGAGCCTTCATTTAGCTGCAGTTGCTTATCCATCTCATCTCTCAGTGATTCCAGCCAAAATCTGCAGGTTTATGAATCTTTACGTCTTGACCCTGTATTCCAGTGCTGTTAGATTATTACGTTTCTATTGTTGCTTTACAGATGTTCAGGCAGTTGCTTACGAAGAGCCGAAGCATTGGTGCTCCATTGTCTACTATGAGCTGAATAATCGTGTCGGGGAGGCGTTCCACGCTTCTTCCACTAGCATCCTGGTGGATGGCTTCACTGATCCTTCAAACAACAAGAACAGATTTTGCCTGGGGCTGCTTTCCAACGTTAACCGCAACTCCACTATTGAGAACACTAGACGGCACATTGGCAAAGGTGAGTTTTGGATCTTTGCTTCCATTTTTGGGGGTTTGGAGGGGGTTGTTTCCCCTAGACATGACAACCTGGGCCACTTGCCTCAAGAGCAGGCTGGTCTTCCCAAGTACCTGGGGTAAGTGCTTGTGTTGGTAAATACTTAATTTTTTGGCCAGGTCTTTTAAGCAAAGTATTGTTCTTACTTGGTGTATAATTACAGGAAACTTTTACCCTTAATCAATTTTTAATCACCCAAAGGTTATCATGATCTTAATTAGAATGAGAGCTTAAGGCAGTTTGTTTAATGAAATGTCTTGATTTATCTTGATTATTGGTGTATGTGGAAATCAAAATTATAGTTCTTGGCACCAAATTTTTAGCTAGCCTTAGTTCCAGCATAAATTAGCTATCCTAACGTGTTTTTAGAGAGGCAACCTGCTACAAACAGTTTTTCCAAATACGTTTTTCACAGGCTGGTGATTCTTTCAGGGAGAATTTTGTGCTTCTCTTCTATGGTTGTGACAGTGTCCTGCAAAAGAGAAAAGCTTCTGTTTTATGTCTGACTTAGTATAGTCCTCTTTTTTTCCTGAGAACTTGCATATAATGCAAATGACAGGCAAAACTGAACATTGCCCCCTGCAATGCCTGTCAGATATTTTTTTTTTTAGGTGTTTACATTATTTGTAAACTAAATTTTCTGAGAGTGAGGGTTCAGCATGCCCAAGCAGTGGGTTGTATATTGCAAGTGCCAATTAATGAAGTATCTTCCTCCATCCTTGGAGGAAAGAATTGAAACTGAAGACACTTGTCAGATCTTCAAGTCTGAGCCCTTGGTCTGCATAGCTTTTCTCTACATGAGGACTTACTTGTGCAGGTCTCAGCAGTACACCGCACCTGTGCTGTGCCACTCAAGTCCTAATACTTCTTCCTTCTTTTCCTCCCCATCCATCTTACCAAGTATCAGGATATTTATTTAACACCTCATTCATTTTCCTGTTGAAAGTAACCCAGCTGCACGCAGAGTTCTGCTGAAGCACTTAACTGCCTATATACTGAAGCAGAGCATGGAAGAGACAAGGATGCCATTGAATACGCGAATGTGTACAAACTAATGATGATGTAGAACTGTTAGCCTTTGAGGAAGGAGGAGTAAATCCCAAACTTGAAGACATAGCCATAAATGTTTTTGCAGATTAGGTGGGAGTATGTATGTACCCACACAGGTACGTGCATAGTCAGCGGCAAAATCTTACATGACAGAGCACAATCAAGGCTTTCTGGCTGGACTTCAATCTAGTCTTTAAATTCTATGTGTTCACTTCTCTGACTCGTGGCATTGTGGGAGGTGAAAGCTTTAAACGGAAAAAAATCCATTTTTAAACACGAGAGACAAATTTTCTTGCTTTTTCAATGCCTTTGGAATTGAGTCCTACTGGCATCTCCCTGTATGTTGCTCTTCTGGGGCTTGCTGCCATCAGTGGCAGGTAAGGGAGCATGCAGTAGAAGGGGAAAGGACTATAAAATTGATGTGTACCCTCATCTGACAGATACATCTGAGGAATATAAGGACCATTTTTCCCCCCCCCCAGCTTTCTGGAATTAAAGCGAGCTGCAAAAACTCCTGCTATCCAAAATAGCATTCAGGACTTTTCCAGCGACTCCAGCTTGGGGCTGCTTTAGGATCTATAAATTAGGCAGTAGGTTTCTGTTCTCTCCTCTTGCATTCCCAATTATTGTTTGACATAAAGATAATGAGAAAATGTTCAAGTGGTCAAGCCATCCAATGGACTGCATCAAAATTACTGCAGTGCTTGCTAGTTTATTGTTGTTGAATACACAACAGGTTAAAATGCAGGAATTAAGGACTCCCCTTATGTATACAAACATGCACACCCTCCTTTCAAATTGCCCATTGATGCAACAGAAAAGTAAAAATCAAGTTTGAAGACAGGCAGATGATGGTCTGATATGCAATTATAGTTTATCTCTTTAAGCAGAAACATATCTCTGTGGAGACAGAGCATGAAAAATAGATACACGGTGTGAATTTGTCTAACCTGCTTATGTCAACCTTCTCCTCCCAGGCGTTCATCTCTATTATGTTGGTGGAGAAGTGTATGCTGAATGTCTTAGCGACAGCAGTATTTTCGTACAAAGTCGGAACTGCAACTACCATCATGGATTCCATCCCACCACGGTCTGCAAAATCCCCAGTGGCTGCAGTTTGAAGATTTTCAATAATCAAGAGTTTGCTCAGCTTTTGGCTCAGTCAGTGAACCATGGCTTTGAGACAGTGTATGAGCTTACTAAGATGTGCACTCTCCGCATGAGTTTTGTAAAGGTACGTGAACATTTGCTTGAGATTATTTTGTAAGCAAAATAAACTACTTTTTCTTCATGTGGTGATTTTGAATGGTCCAATACCTCCCTCCATCGACCTGTTAATAGCTGTTGAATTTTAAGTATGGAATAATGTTCGTTAAGTGTGAGACAGATCTTAGTGAAAAGAAGTTGTCTGTGTGGACAAAAATCCATCTGACGCACAGACTTTGAAAGCTTGAGGTGACTTGCAGAAGGTGTTTCGTCACATAAGTCTGTAGTTGCTTGTGGAGCATTTCTGTCATGTCTGTTAAGTATTCTAATTTCATTGAATTGACTCTTGTACATTTTTAGTGTTTCAGTTGAATTCTTGTATTTAAGATGTGTATAGATTGTGTGTGTGTAGAATTATTTGCATAATTACTCTGGAATCATGGAGCTTGTCTTTTTAATTTTGTGGGATATGGCAAGATAGAGTACAAGTAAGTTTTGAAAAGAATTAGGTCATTAATTACTTGGCCTGAAAGTGGAAAAGCCACCAATTCATTATGCAGCATCAGCTTTTGTCCCTTTTTTTTGCCCATTGTTACGGTTCATGCTGTCTCCTGCTCTGTTAGAGGCCCAGCTGAACTTCATGCTCCTGTTCCTGGGTGGTATTTTTGGAGAGTTGGGCTGGGACCGCAATGTAAGTCATCATAGCGGTTGTGGGAGTGTAGATAGCATAATCCTCTAAATCTGTCTTGACCAGCAGCTCCCAAATTAGGAGCTGCAGTAATTATTTAGAATAATACACAAACCTTTCTATTCTAGGGGGGCATGCAAGGTCAAGAGTGTGATGTGGGTGTGAGTGTCAATGTAGGTGCTGATATAAAAGGGCTGGTCACATATATGGAAGTAGTCAAATGAAGAGGGGTAATATGCTGAAGTGCTCTCCCTTATAGGAGGATGGAAACTTTCAGATATGTTAGAACAAGGGTTCCTAAAATGGAATAGGTTGTTTATAGCTCTGTATCCTATAGAATTGTACAGCAGTGTTGCTGGAACAGTTGCACAGGACCTCCTGCATATTGGATGTTGCACTGCACAGTGTTTAGAGCTGGCTCATCCCTTCATTAGGGATTAATACAGCGCAGAGCAAACTGTACCTGCGACTATCCTAGCCTTGTCTCCAGACCTGCCCCAGAAATGGTTCTCTTCCAAAATTATTTTGAATGCTGTTTCAATATCTGCTTATATCTTTGGTAATTACTGTAACTGAATCAAGTATGAGCTGAAACAAAACCTATCTTGTCTTAACTTGAGAAATAGCCTGCTGAGGAATGACCATGCCCTCTTAGAGAAAGAGGAATGTTTCTGACTTAGTGCTCGGTTTATTGTGTCCATCCTGTAAATGATGCTTTGGTTCTTGTCAGACAGATGTCTCACCCCCACTTCCATAATGTCAGTCTATGACCTCATTTTTTTAATTTGTTGGTATGGTTGGCAGCATTTCCCCCTAGTTTGTTCTATTTTTGTTATTGGCAGAGAAAACTTGATTATCCCCCTCTTCAGAAGTTTTATTTGGACATCATGCAGCTGGCGGTGGGGTATGGGGAAATTTTGCACTGCCACAGGTTATGCCTTTAAGAATTTAAAGACTTCCATATCAAGAGATGTCAAAATGACACTTCCTCCAAATTTAAATCTTTTTTTTTAAACTTCAGATTTGTTTGTTGAAGTGTGATAATAGTTGGTGCATCAAGGGTGTTATACTACCCTGCTGATAATGACTATTGAAAGCTAGAGTGTTTTGGTATGAAAGATGATGATTAAAGTATGCTTCTCGCATATTTGATATTATAAAATAAGGTGATTTTTTTTTTTTCTTTCCCCACTTATGATTCTGTTTCCAGGGTTGGGGAGCTGAGTATCATCGCCAAGATGTAACGAGCACTCCATGCTGGATAGAGATACATCTTCACGGTCCCCTTCAGTGGCTGGATAAAGTACTTACTCAGATGGGCTCTCCTCATAATCCTATTTCTTCAGTGTCTTAAAAGGTCCCAAGCTCCTGCATTTTGGAAACAATTGAGCCTTGCATGTACTTGAAAGACGTATGAGTCAGACACACACTTTTTTTTCCTCTCTGAACTGGCAACAGCTGAATAAGAGCCATGAAAATACTTGACTTCTGTGACCAACTGTTGGCTTCAGAGAAAAAATTAAAACCCCTTCGACATACTGTTGGTATCAAGAATTTTAGTTTACATTGTAACGTACTATTGCAAAGTTGATTTGCAGGGCTTAGTGCAACGGGGATGACCGAGCCAAAACCACAGTCTGTCGGACCGAGTTCCTGAAGGATCTTCCTCTAGCTCGCACTCAGATTCTCTTTCTTCCTTACGTTCAGCGCTCGCTGTTTTCCCGTGTCCTCTAGGGCTAAGAGCCGATGTTGGCAAAGTCTGCTTTTTGCAGGCTCTCTGCAGTACATTTTAAAACTCTTTGTCTAAGTTGATGGTTGCTGTTCTCTTTTAAAGAAGAAGAAAAAAAAAAGTCATAGGGTTTAATCTCAATAACTGTGTAATAATCTTTGAAACTGTGTCCTGACCATACTGCTGTAAGAATGTTAAGTATGTTTTTTTTGCTAAATGTATGTACGGTGTATTTGAAAGTTTAGAAATTAATTAGATTTAGACCATAATGGAATTAGGAATATTTGAATGGGGGGAGGTGGGAGCGGGAAGGGAAAATGACAACTGAAGTGTAGAATATATTGTAAACATAGCTTCTTAGTTTAAACTGAGGTCTGAGTTTTGCTGTGCATTTCGTTTTTATAGTGGCTTCATCTTGTTAATTCTGACTATTTTTGCCTCTTCATTTTCCCCCAGAACAATTGCGCAGCTGGCTAATTCTTTTACCCATGAAGAGGACAAAATGATTAATTCCTGCAGTTTGAAGGCTGCAGCTCTATGTATTTCAAGACAAAATTGTACAGAGTGCTCTTTAACTATTGAGCGGTTTTATACAGTTTATGTAACAGAAGTAGGCTTTTAATTTTGTAAGAGAATCTTGTGTTGCCAAACCTAGTAGCTGTTAATTGTTTGGAGGACTTCAAAATCCCTGTGTGGGTCTATTTCAAACTTTAAAAAAAAATATATTTTTAATTTTTATTTTTTTTACTGCTTGGTTTATTTTCTTCTCCTTGATCTTTTATATTCACATAAGCTGTAGTACTTTAAGTACCTTTATTCCAAAACTAGTAGGTCCTCTTTACTGCAAGTCTTGAATAAAACCTGTTGTTACTGCTTACATTTGATTAAAACCTTGTCTTGTCCACTTCTTAGTAGACTCTTAACAAACCAAATAAAGAGATGGTCTTGGAGGAGGAGCAACTAGAAATGAAGATAATCTGAGCGTAGACATTTATGATTAGTACAGGTTAGTAATGCTACAAACTCAGTATATGAGGTAAATGAGTACTTAACCAGGCAAGATTAGAATGGATGCAGTAACACTGAAGTATCCTAGCCACTTAGTTAAATTTCTGTGAGATTTCAACATGCAATATCTGTATGGGAAGAGATTTTGCTGAGGTTGCACTGTCAGCGGACTCTTGCTGCTCCTTGCCATGGTTGTGGTGAAGAGCCTCCAAGCTCCTTTCCCCATGCCTCTACCTTTGCTCTGGGGAGAGGTGAGGGAAGGACTGTCCCTTTGCAGCTGTGAAGTGTCTGTCAGGTGTGGGATGATGGAGTTTGAGAGGCTGGGGGTTGACTGGAGATCCAGTGCCTGTGACTGGCTATAATGGACCATGCAGTGCTAACCAGGAGCATGAGGAAGAGCTGAGCAATGGAGATGAATGTGTGTTCAACCAGATGTATGCATGTGTATGTCACACTGATGAGTAATAACCCTTTTTGCAGAATGAGTCAATCCCATCTTTTTTTTTTAAAGTTAATTCTATTGCTTGGTTCAGTATACATTTTTAAAACTAACCCTTCTTCCCCTGCCAAGAGAGAAAAGAAATCCATAATGTTCAAGTTCCCTATTTAGGAGAACTTGGTTAGTGACTTTTTTGTATTTGTAAGTTCCAAGAAGAGATTTTTTTTTTAATTGTTTAGCATACATTTTTCATAAAGACGCAGTCATAGCACAAATGTAAGTCTTACAAATAAATAAAATTTAAAGATGACCAAAAAGAGAAAGAATGCTGTTTGCTGTTCAGTCACTCTGTTTTTCCCCCTCTTCAGCCCTTGCTACATTAACTTCTGGCTGTTCCCAACCAGTTTCCTTCCTTTTGGTGGAATACAGCACTGAGGTAGTGACTTTTTTTTTTTTTGATCAGTGCTGTAACCATCTATCATGCAAGACTTAAGAGTATTTTTATTCGAGTGTTTTCATATTTGGATGATCCTGTGCAAGTTTTGGTGAACTTTGAAATAGCTTTGGAATAAGAAAAGGCAGTTTTATGTTGTGACTGCTTTTGGATGTTATTGCCTTGTATGTTTTGGGCTGTAATGCCTCTCTGTTTTTCCTAAACAGGGATTAAAATCAGAAAATACTAGCTCTGCAGTGTCTCAGAAACTTTCAGTCGTAATACTTCTGGAGGGTCCTAGTTTTTGTAAGTTCCTTCTGTTGTGAATTTTTCTATGCTGTTGATACTGTTGAAGTGCAGTATACATAATATTTTCTTTATCTGTTATCCAGCTTTTTGTTTGTGGTGAGGAAACATTAGGTGTAAGGAAAAAGTGTACCTTCATGTGATGGCACAGAGTATCCCAGCTGTACTTTATTAAACAAGCTGAGTGCATTGGAGTAGCACCTGAGACTAATAGCCAGAAAAATAGGAGGTCAGACAGAAGTTACTTTGGAGGAGGCAACTGCTAGCCTGAGGCTCTTCTGAAGATTTTTGGAGCATCTTGGAGAAGTTTTCTTACTGATTTGCCCCACTTCGGATAGTTGGAGTCACAAAGCTGGAAAAAGCACAGGATAAGATAGAAGGAAAAGAGTTTCTCGCTGACCTCTCACAAAACAGAGAATGATGAGAGCTAGAAACTTGGAGAGTGCCTGCAGTGTCAGCTCTGTAACCAGGTGAGTCCCTGCTGCCTGTTTGGTTTTATTTCCCCCTAGCTTCCTGGGTCTAGTCTTCTGAACAATAGAGTTAAACACAGAAGACGCTACTTCAAGGTCAAAAGCCAAGACGGTCCCTGTTAGGAGAAATTGAAAAGGTATGGATAACTGTTCTAGAAAAAAAGAATTGAGGAAGAGCAGTGAACAGTAGATGTGCAGATGAATACTTTCTGTGTTTTGAAAGCTGTGCTTTGGCTTTGAAGTGCTGGAAAGAAAATAATTCTGCCCATGTGGAGATGACTTTTGAACCATTCAAAAGTCTCTGGTGAACCTTTAAAAGACTTGATGAAAGTTAAGAGAGGTAGTCATGGCTACTTGTGTGGTTTTAGGAAGGCATGGAGAGAAATAATTCATGTTTTAACATATCCTCTATCAGAATCATGGACATGATCTTCTAATGCTCACTAACCTGGTATTGCTATCTAGTTTGATAAAGCCATTCCCTTACTAAATCACTTTTCTTGCTACTGTAGCTATGCTTTCACAACTGCAGTTGTCTTTTCTGGCCTCAAAAAATGCAGTTCTGTGACTACTGTCATTTGGAGACAATAAATCAGTGCAGAGATGTCTGAAATGTATATGGCCCTTTCTTGGTGTGCCTATCTCCTTGATTTTTCTTTTGTCTTGCCCCACTTTAAACCTTTGATTGACATCTTGGAAGTCAGCTGTGTTTTGATGGTCTCTGTTAATTGCTGCTGGTTCGTTCTATTCAGCACAGTTTAGCCTCTTATTCTGCTCTTGAGATTCATGATTCATAACTGTGAACTGGCAGTCACCTTTTTCTGGATGCGTGCCTAAGTATACAACATAACTCTACCATCACCAGTCATGGTAGAGTAATATATTTTTTACATGCATCATCTCACAGTTCATTTTCTTCAAATACATTTGTAATTCTGTGCAGGAGAGAAGTGAAAATGGCTCTTATTTTACTCTGTCCCCTTGTGTCCTTGACTTAAACAGCTCAGTGCAGAGACACACCTTTGTCATGTTATCCTCTTAGGGGATGTTCTCTCTTCTCTGTTCCCTAAGCCACCCTCCCTGACTCCTATATTCCTGATGACTTTCCTTATTTTTTTTTTTAAACTCTTTGCAAACAGCTTTTTATCTGATTCTTTTCTCATACCTGCTGGACACTGTATGTTTCAGTCGGACAAAAACCCCTCTACAGTATGCTTGCCAAAGGCAGGTAAAGAATTACAGGTTGCAGTAGGCACTGGAAGCCGCCCATGGAGATATGCATGCTTCACAGACACCAGTTCTTCAATCCCTGCTGTCTCGAATGCTCTTTTTGGAAGAGGAAGGTGAAGAAAGACAGGCTCATGCTATTGGATTTCACTTTTGCTTGGGATTATTGTTTTAAAGCTTTTTACAGTTAAGATTCCCTTCCCTCCTCTCTACAGTAGTATGTCACTTTGTTTGTATCTGGCTGAAATGACAGAAATTGTCAGCCAGGGTGCTCAGGCTTTGTGTGTAGTGGTTGTGTTCCCCAACTGCTGCCTTCAGCTTCACAAGCAAGCCTTGCACTTGTTCTTGTCATCTCTCTGTCCCAACAGGCTCCAGAATAAGTGGCGTGTGTGGTTTGCAGAATGAAGGGCCTGTACTCTCCACTCACTTTGGTGACTTGCTCAGGGGGGAAACCTCTGCAGAGCAAATGAAACTGCGTAGCTGGGACCTAGCTGTCACTGGCAGGGGCCGCTGATATGTGTGGGCTGGCTGAAGTGGTCCTTGTTCCCAGGGGCTGCCATCCTCGTGAGATGCTGTGCCTGTTCCTGTGCCACCATGGGTCTCACATCCGTGTGGTGCAGCAAACTGCTGCTGGTTTGTCTGTGTACGTTCATGTGCTGTGAACTGCTGAGGTGGAGGGCTCCCATTTCTTGTGTTTTGTTCAGTTTAGTTGAGGTGGCTGACAAGGTGCCTCCTATTTCATTCAGCCCAGCTGTGGGACATGATGATCTCTTCAGCTGCAACAGCTACCTCTGACAGGGTATTTAATTAATTGGTTTTCATGAAACAGTTGCAATGGAGAGACAGCCTTCTGATCAAGCCTGTTGCAAACACAAAAGTAACTCCAATAAGATTTATAATGTAAACGTCCCGAG